AACAGGAGTGGCAGTGCTAATCTCGGATAAAATAAACTTTAAGGCAAAAGCAAGCAAAATAGATAAAGATGGACATTATCTCATGATTTCAGGGAAAACTGAACAAAATGAAATAACCATATTAAATATCTATGCTCCCAATGAAAGAGAGCCAAATATCTAAAACAAACTCTAGTAGATCTAAAGAAAAAGATCTAAGAAAAAGAAATTATACTAAAAGGGGTAGGGGGAAGTCTTTGTTGGTTGTTGGGAAGTTGGTGATGGGTGGGGGGAAGAGGGGAGGGCGAAGCGCAGGGTGGGGATTGGACACAGGAGAGCTTGTGTGCTAGGAAGGGGGCAATATACAGGGAGGGAGAGGGAAGTGGAGAAACGGGGCAGATTGGAGAACAATTGGGCATGCTCGAAAGGGCTAAATGGGACAGAGATAAAGGACGATATATGCACAGCCTTGGAACGGCAGAGCTCTGAGCGGTTGATGATACATGGAGGGGATTCGAACCATGGCAGTGAGATGATATAAAATGGAATGAATGTAAAACTAAAGTTCTCCCATGTAAACTATCATATAGTTCACAATAAAACATTAAAAAAAAACCCCAAAAAGAATAAAAATCAAGTGACATTCAGTTCAACTTGAACAACAACTACAAGAAAAAAAAATCTAATTACAGTACAAAAACTGACAGAAAATATTTTGGGCAGTGAAGATTTATAATATAAATCCATATAACCTGCTGTTGTCCAAACATTTTTTTAAAATAAAATGATGGAGCCTAACAAAAATAGCAATTTTAATTTAAAAAAATGTTTTTACATTTTTATAGTGAATTGAGTGATTGTTTACATGGGAGAACATCATTGTTTCACTCATCGTTTTTTTACACTCATCGTTTAATTGCAACGATTACAATCCCCTCCATGCATCATCATTGAACAGTATTTGCTTTTATTCCCTCTAGGTTTTTTTTTTTTTTTTTTTTTTTTTTGGCGGGGGGATACACAAAAACACTCAGAAATATATAATCATTTAAACAATCGAAGAGCATATTCTGCAAGCCTGCCTCCTGGTCACCAGCACACAGTCTTTCTCTTTCCATGAGTCTAGAGTTCTCTGCTGCTCTATTTATGTCATAATCTCTGCCTCCATCTCTGCTTCTCTGAATTGTTGTTGTTGTTAAGTGCCGTTGAGTCAGTTCCGACCCATAGCGACCCTGTACAGGGTTTCCGAGGGTGTAAATCTTTACGGGAGTAGAAAGCCTGATCTTTCTCCCACGGAGCAGCTGGTAGTTTTGAACCGCTGACCTTAAGGTTTGCAGCCCGATTCGTAACCACTAAGCTACCAGAGCTCCTTTGGATAGCATCCCACATTTTGCTCATGCTCTTCCTCCTTGATGGTCCTAGAGTCCACTGTTCCTGGAATGTAAGATTAACTTCTACCCCCTTTATGTTACAAAACTTCTACCTTTACAGTTGTGATAGTCACAATTAATCATGATAACAATCACTAAGTATTGAATCATAAGAATCTTATCCCCATATCCTTTCACCAGACCCATCTAGAAAAGATGAAAACTATTCAATGGTGATTCTACCTTCCACCACACTGTCTGTAACTGAACTGCCTCTTGAAAACTTGTAAGCTTGTCACTTTGTGCCTTTATAGCTGCTACAATTTCCTCAAATTGTAGCAATTTACACTTGTTTCCTTTATCAAACGTTTTATCTTCTTCTAGTTGAGTTGTGATCATCAAACCATCGAAGCTACATCAAATAGGTACTATCTGCATGTTTGGGTGTTATTGTACGTCTCCCCTCACTTAATATCAGCTGGACATTTCACTCTCAACTCTAGCCCTTCATGGTTATGTCCTTCTCCATGGACTCAGAAGTCCCCAGGTCTCACCATACATCAGACCAACCAGCCCTTCCTCTTCTCTCTCTCATCTCCAGGTTGACAGGGGTCCATGGAGTGTGGTTGAACTCAGCCCATATCTTCATTGCTGCCTTTCCCCCACTTCCACTCACCAGTAGACCAACATGGTCTCCAGTAAGCCCACATGCCCGCTCATGTGATCCCCGCCGAGGCTCAGACTTGAAGGGGGGTTTGTCCTGAAAGGACTTGATTGCTTGCCTTGATGGCTCTCCAGTGAACAACTTGCCTGTACTTGTAGTAGTCAATCAGACTGCCATTTTTGTTTTTGATTTAGATTTTTCCTGCTGGTCTTTCTTTCAAGAAATATCTTTTGTTCCTCTAGCTGCTCCAGGCTGGTCTGTTTGTCCTTTCAAATAGGAATGTCCCACCTTAGAAAGTTCTGGATGGGGCTCAGGATTATACTTAAGGTCCTATACACTACCAAGGCTCCACAAGAAGCCAGTTTCACTGGGCAAGTTCTAGAACCCCTTTTAGGTATCACAATCAGTTATAGGCTGAAGATGGGCTTACAAGGTTTCTGTAATCATGTTTCCTAATATTCCATTTTATCCTACTCAGGTGTCTATTTTACAACAGTAGGCAAGGGAAATCAATATTCATAAGACAGTAAGCATTTTAACATTAATTCCCCTCTTTTACCCATACAGACTATGCCTCGATCCCTGTATCACAGAACCCTGTTGTTCCAAGGTTGAGCATACATTACTATTTATCTCTGTTCCATTTAGTGAAATGGCAAATCTGATTTTCATAGTTATGAAAGATATTACGTGGTCTCCAAAGCCTAAATTATTACTACCTGGACCTTTATAGAAAAATTTTCCCAAGCTTTATTCTAGAAGAAAATATTAGGAAAATATCTTCATGACCACTGTGTGGTAGTTTTTTTTGTTGTTGTTCTTAACTTACTTTATTCCACTGTGGTGCGTAATGCTTAAGACAATGGTTGCTTTTATAAAGAAGAGAATAAAGAAATCCACCATCTCTGCAATGAATCTGTGGGCCAAGGATGGAATAACATACTCACTCACTGCCGGCTATCCAGCCGCGATCGGGGTTCGTGAAGGAGCAGTGGGTCCTGCCCTGGCCCTGGGGGTGGCCCTGACGGGTCCCTGCACTGGAAATACCCGGGCTCCCAGGCCAGCGACAGCAGCGGGTGTGACAGCCCCGGCCAAACTCCCCGGGGCAGGCGCAGTGGCAGGGGCTCTCAGGAAGTAAAAGTGAAATAGGCAAGCTGGGGGGTGGCTGGTGCCTGGTAGGGGGTTGGGGGCAGCTGGGGGTTGCAGTAGGCGGGGAAGGTGGCGAGGCCGCTGTGCCAGGTGAGATAGCTGCAGTAGGACTGCCAAAGCCATTTGTGCACCTGGTGGGAGTATTCATGGTTGCTCAGCCACACCGGCGTCTCCTGCAACTCCGCATCGGAACCAGCAGCCGCCTCCTCGTGCTTCCCGGGCTCACGCTCCAACTCCGGTAGTTTTGTTTTTGTTTTTTCTTTTAGAATTTTATAAATTGAAAAATGAAGATTTTGTTTATCAAGATTGGTGTCCAGTATTATACTAGAACACTTAGAGATTATTAAGAAAAAGCCAATTAACCCACTTTTAAAAAATAAGAATCACATAAAATCATGTTCAAGCTTATTAGTCATTAAGAAAATGCAAATCAAAACCACAGTGAGTATAGGGTTTCCAAAGCTGCAAGTCTTTATGAGCAAACTGCCTTATCATTTTTCCACTGGTAGGTATGAACAACCAACCTTTAGGTTGGCATTGAATCTCTTGAGCCATTGTGTCACCAGGAATGAACTATCATCACACAGAATGTTTTTAAAAACTCAGTGGGGAGAAAGAAAACAAGATGGTGGATCAGGTGGAAGAGCAGTGATGAGCTCTGCCAGGAACAACACAGAATACAGGACCAAGAAGGCTCAGGGGATGGTCCCAGTACTCTGAACCACATATAAAGGAATATTTAGAAGATTGGAAGACTTATACCTGGGGAGTTTGGG